AGCTCACTGTTAATCTGGCAAGACAACTAAGCAAAATGTTTCTTTTGGGACAGCTGGGCAAAGCGTAATTCTTTGTCATGATTCATTTTTATGGTTTTGCCTTGTTATTAAATTTTGAAATATTGTTTTCTGGCATAGTTGATGGGTAAAGTACTTGTATAGTTAGTGAGAAAATAGGGGGATGGTGGTATCGGTTCCCTATTTTCTGTTCTCAAATAGATTGTGACTCTAAACAAATTCCTATGATAATGATGATGCATCTTCATCAGAGTCCTTACTCCTGAATTTGAAACTTTGTATCTTGTCTTTCCAATTGTGTTTTTCTTATGTATATAAATAGTCTAAAACAGCTATGTTTTAGAAAGGATCTGAAAACATGAAAAGATGCATGAAGAGCATCCATATTGTTTAAACAAAGTTAAAAACTTGTGTTGCAACATACAACTTGCAAATATTGAGAATATAAAAATCTTCTTTTCAGCATTCAGTAACAGAATTTAGAGAGTATACAACATATATGTTTTGTCTCTCTTGACTTCTCAGTACCATCCTTTTCTTTCCACTTGTTGCAATTAGGTTCATTAGGGAGAAGGATGATTGTCCAGTTATGCTAAGGCATAGCATATGATAGTTTATGCAATGATCATGTAACGTTGTTGTCTCTGTTTTGATGTTTGTTTGTATATCTAGGGGGATCATAATCGTCAAGTTACGCCGTGGGCAAGAACTGAGGCTAAGGGCAATAGCCAGAAAAGGGATTGGGAAAGATCATGCTAAGTGGTCGCCTGCTGCTACTGTAACTTTCATGTATGAGCCTGAGATACACATCAACGAGGATTTGATGGAAACTTTGACTCTTGAGGAGAAACAAGCTTGGGTCGAGAGCAGTCCTACTAGAGTATTTGATATTGATCCTAATACCCAACAGGTTGGCCATTTCCTAATATGAAAAATATTATTATAATAATTTGTTTGATTTGTTTTTCTGATTTTTGTCTATAAGCTGTGGTTTTCTGTGGTCGGCTTTAGTAGTGCAGATGTTTCTTCACATAAGGATTCATAATTTTGATGCGGATATTAATCCTAGGTTGTCATGTGCTTCTGAAAGTCTCAATTTTCTAGCTACTACTCTCTTAACATTCTGAAAAAAGAAAGTAAATTGAAGAAATTAAAGTAGTGCATTTTATTTATGTGATGTATTTTTGTTTTTTTCACACTGACACCTAATTATTAGGACTTGTTTCAAACAGTGTTTAAGTTTTGAATTAATTATTTATTTAAAAAAAAAGTTTTGAATTAATCATGTTGACAGTTTTTACAAAGAATAAACTAGTGTTATCAATGTCTGTCATATCGGAACTTTTTCAGCTGCTCAACACCTAGAATGTGTGTGAACAGTAGGGTATTGCAATGGATCCACTAGCTTAATTTAGATTTTGGGTTGAAGTTGTAGGATTGCATCTCAAGGATGCTGTCATCTTAGAGATCCTATTTATGGGCTCATAAATATATATTTTTTAAAAAATGAAAGTGATACCCTTTTAGG